CGATTATGGAATATCTTTTATAACACATCAGGTGTGCCGCGTGAATAGCACATCTTGTCAATGCAAACAGACCGTTATAGCACCGTTATAGTTCATGTTAAACCTGAGATTCAACTAGAGAACAAATACATCATAGAATAATGGTCATGAGATCTCGGCATTGCACAAACAAACAAATCTCATCTTTAAATCAACATGTACCTTCACTGGTGAGAAAACAAATCCCATCACAGTTCATTTGTGGGACTTTTACCTTTCTAGTATTGAACAAACAAAAATACATAAAATATGAAGAAAAACGATTATGCAATCTAATTTATAACACCCGCCATCACGGGCCATGGACTCACTTTTAAAATAAAGTATCGAAACCGGATCTGATTTCGAAACCGGATCAGATTTCGGTACGGTATATACCGTAGCCACCAGTATCCGGTATTTCGGTAATACCGGATACCGGTATGCATCCCTCATTTCATTTCAAACCTTTATTTATACAGATAAATCCCATTGAGATCATTGATCTATTTTTCAAGGGAGACCTGCTCAAGTAGTTCCACATGAAACATAAAAACATAAATAGAACAACAAAAGGACATCATACAGCATCATTTACATAATTATCCACATGAACAGGTACCTATAGCTTCCGATTGAGTCGCATCCAACCGAGCTTTAAAAACATTTAGTGGCACCAGATTGTTCAGTTTCCATTTAATTTGCAGACTATTCCAAGACAGTCCTAGCAGTTGGCACATTTAATAAAACCACAGCATTCGATCTCAGGCAGTAGCCACTTACAATTTTCCGTGAGATCAGGGAGCAGATATAAGATGGAAGTTTCCCTAACATGGCTTTGTATATAAAAATGTACCAGTGACTGAGCCTCCGTACAGTTAGTGAAAGCAAACCAGCCCTTGCATACAGGGTACAGTGATGGGTTAATGATTTACAGTTTGTCACAAATCTCAATGCGCTGTGATACGCAGCATCTAACTTGACCAGGCAATGGGCAGGTGCATTCAGATACATCAGATCACCATAGTCCAGCACAGGTCAAAAGGTCACAGAGCCTTTTCCTGGCCTCAAGCGAGAAACAGGACTTGTTCCTGTAGAAGAAACCTAGCCTAACCCTCAGCTTTTTAAGCAGGTTATTGACATGAAGTTTAAAAGTGAGACAATCATCAAGCCAGATACCAAGGTATTTGTAACAGGTAACCACTTCAAGTTTTATTCCTTGCGTAGTTACAATATCCAAAACAGGCTCTGGTGTCTTTTTAGCTTTAGAAAAGAGCATTACCTTGGTTTTCTCAACATTTAAAAGAAGCTTTAGTTCAGAGAGCTGAGTCTGAATAATGTTAAAAACAGCCTGTAATTTAACACCAGCCTCTTTAATGGAGGGACCTGCACAGTTCATCACGGTATCATCCGCATAAAAATGTAAAGTAGCTTCATCCACATTTTCACCTAAACTGTTGATATATATGGAGAATGAAAGTGCACCTAAAACAGAACCTTGTGGTACACCATTAGTAATGTTCAACCACTCAGAAGACAGCCCATCAAAGTGAACACATTGGGACCTTTCAGAGAGGTAGTTTACAAACCACCCACTGCATGGCTGGATATGCCTATACTGAGTAGCCTCTGCTTTAAAATGCGATGATCGACGGTATCAAACGCTTTGGACAGGTCAATAAATAGAGCTGCACAACTCTGCTTATTACCTAAAATACTCGCCACATCATTCACCACTTTCATTGTGGCAGTGATGGTGCTGTGTGGCTTTCTGAAGCCTGACTGATGTTTAGACAGGATGTCATTGTTACATAAAAACACCTTTACCTGTTCACTCACTAGGCGTTCAAGAACCTTGGCCAGAACTGACAACTTAGAGATTGGCCTATAGTTATTTAATAAGGTGGCCTCCCCTCCTTTTAGCAAAGGCAGGACATAAGCTGACTTCCACCATTTTGGAATTGTGTTAGTGCTGAGGGAGAGGTTAAAAAGAGTAGTGAGAGGTGGAGCAATACAATCTGCAGCTATCTTTAAAAAGAAAGGTTCTACGTTGTCCGGGCCAGCCGGTTTCTTAGGATCTAACTTGGTTAAAGCTTCACGAACAACATCAACAGTAAAAGGGGTAAAACTAAAAGGGTTTTCCAACACACGTTTTTCAGAGTCACATACTGTAGTGTTCACAGACGTAGAGTTAGTGACAGAATCAAATAGAGAACCACAGGACACAAAATGCTCATTAAAGCAATTTAGCATAGTAGCCCTGTCCGATATAGTGCCAGATGCTGTGGTAAGGCACGGAGGTAGCTCATTACGGATATCACCGGTGGATAACGATTTAATGGCTTTCCAAAATTTTCCAGGATTATTCAGATTCTTTGTGGTAACTGACAGATAGGACTTTGATTTAGCACTTTTGATATGCGATGTGAAGCTATTCTTTAGCTGCCTAAAACGCAGCCATTCTACCTCTGAGCCTGAATTCCTAGCCTTTGCCCAGGCCTTGTTTCTCTCATGAAGGAGACTGGACCGATTAGCAGAAAACCAAGGATTGTCTCATCCCTTTACTCTAAATTGATGCAGGGATGCATGTCTATCAATGATCTCCATAAAACCAAGATAAAAATAAGACCATGCGGTTTCTACATCAGCACACAGATCGATTTTACCCCAATCAAAATCAAACAGATCATGCACAAAACCATGCTCCACAAAATGTTTTTTGTCTCTCTTAATGATAATGCGAGGTTTAACCTTTTGGACCTTAGTGTCCCTAATTGTGGCTACAACACAGTGATCACTCAGATCATTTGCAAATACTCCCACAGATGAATATTTATGGAGAACATTAGTTAAAATGAGATCAATTAGGGAGGATTTATTAGGGGACTTAATATTTGGGCGAGTAGGACTGTCCACAATCTGAGTAACATTTAAAGAGATACAAAGGTTTTTAAAATCCTCTGACACTGCAGTTAACCAGTCCCAGTTAAAATCTCTAAGTAGCACTATTTCCTTGTAGTCTAGTTGTGATCACATATTTGCTAGTGAAGACAAGGAGTCTTTGACAGCTGAGGGGGGTCTGTAACAACTCACTACCATGACCTGTTGACCCTTTGCCACTTCTATATTTATGGCCAAACATTCAAATTGCTTACTGATCGATTTGGAAACTAATGTGGTTACACTGAACTTGTTCTTAACATAAATGGCAACGCCACCACCTTTATTAGGCCGGTCGGTACGATACACATTAAAACCATTTAAGGCAATGTCAGAGGCCAAAATAGATTTGTTTAGCCATGTTTCTGATAAAACAATGACGTCAGCGTCAGTTGAGCTCGCCCAGATACGGACAAAATCTAGTTTACCTAACAGACTGCGCACATTCAAGTGGATGAAACCCAACCCAGACCTAGCTTTAAAATCAGCAGGAGTAGCGATCTGACTACTACTACTGGGCGGACCAGGGTTAGGTTGTACATTTCCTAACAGTAATAACAACAACAAAACCAGGCATCTTTTCCTCTTAAACGACACACATACATTGTCATCTAATTTAGAAACACCGGAAAAGTCTGCGAGAGTGTGATTAGAGCTTAAGAAGCAGTCCTGAAGAACCATCATCTCAGGAAAACAAAAAAGACAAACGTATTTTGTCGAGCAGATTGTCTGTGACAAGGCAACCGGTAATTGTTTGAGCAACACATCCGAACCTTTGCAGGGGATGCCCACTGCGGGTGGCAGAACAGACCTGAATCCAGTAGTCTTCTCAGAATGACTAGAGATCTTCTCATAGTCTAAAACAGTTAACAGGCACAGCAGAATCCCGATATGGGCCATTTTCCCAGACCAGCACACAGAATCCGCGATGTTCCTGGAGCAAAATCAGCACAGCAGCAAAGGACAGGCGAAAACAGCAGCATGGAAGCGCTCCGCTCCCTCCGTGGTATCCCCGGGGTGAAAGCAGGCCTCTGCAACAGCAGAACCAGGACAGGTGGAAAGCAGGCCCCAGCGGTGGTAAAATCCTCCTCCGCACAGCAGCACACGCCCGGTGGAAGCAGGCCAAGCCCGAAGCGTGGATCCACTCCGTCTCTCCGCGACGACTCCGGGGTAAACACCTCTCCAGTACAGCCGTATTCTACAGGTGGGAGCAGGCCTCCGTAGATCGCAGATCGCAGTCAGCAACAGGTGGAGCCGCTCCGTCTCTACGCGACGAGCAGGCCTCCGTAAATCGCAGATCGCATGCAGCAACAGGTGGAGCCGCTCCGTCTCTTCGCGACGTCTCCGGGGGAAAAACACCTCAGTACAGCCGTACTCGACAGGTGGGAATAGGCCTCGGCAGATCGCAGACAACTAAAACTACTACTTGTATAAGCAGGGATGGCTAAAAGTTTGTAAGCAGGAGAGCTAGATGCTAACAGATGCCAGATGCTAACAGGTAGTGCGAGCCTGTAGAAATTGCGACTGCCTCCAATGACAGCGTAGGACTTATTTGACAGCGTAGGACTTATCCCTAAATGCAACATAAAAAAAGGATAAAAAGGAAATAAAGTAATACAATAGAATGACATAGTGGAGCAAGTATAGTGTATGAATAAGAAAACTATAGACTGGTATTCTGATTACAAAATGTAGACATGTGGAGAGATACCAGATGCAGGAACCCACTATGTCACCAAGCTGCAGGAACCACCTGATCGTAACTTTAACAAACCTTTTTAAAGGCTCTAAAACTATAATGTAGGAGTCTCAAACTGACCTCCCTTTGAATCCTGCATCTTTAAAAAGCGATCACTGTCAAAGTAGACGATGTGTGGAGAACCTGTTTAATAGCCGTCGCTCTCATGGTGACATTTGCGAGGCTGCATGCCGTTTCACTGGCTGCATTTGTGACTTTTATTAGAAAACGCACAGCAAAAAGCCAAAAGAAGGACTCCAGCCAACATGTATGTGCATGTATGTTTAAACAGAGTCTACACATCTACATTTAAGAGGACATTTTATTTATTTGAAGCAGCGGGGATCAGTCAGTGGAGTTTATCACGGTGTGGGGTGAAGTGACAATTGCAGACAAGTGGTTCAATTGAGCTTAAAATGCTTTGCAGTGTTTTGCTTAATGGAGACTTAAACTACTATTACAATGAGGCTGATGCTACTTAAAAACTATAATATGGATATTAAATTCAGCGCCAATTTTCAAGTAATGTAAATGTAATCAGTATTTAGAGCATTGTGGGAAATCTTATTGTCCTCTGATACCAGACTGATTTAGTCAGGAAAAGGAAATATAGTGTATTAAAAAAGTTCAATATATCTGTATGAAATATGTTGATGATATACATAAGCATGCTAACTGTTAGAATAAGCGTTATTCTAAACATCCTATTGTGTAGACAATTGATCAGAGATATAGAGCATGTGCAGCAGTTACAGTAGGCAGTACAGGTATATATACTGTAGGTACAGTATAAGTACACGCTATGAATCATTAATTGAAAAACGAGATAAAAGCATTTATTAAAGTTATTAAATCGACACTAGGGTGAATGATTTTCCCAGAGATCACAATTAAGAAAATATTTTATGGACCATTTTACAATTTAGATATTTTATGAATTCAACCCAACACTTGTATGTTTGAACATGTGCAGCAGTTACAGTGAGAAGTGAAGGTATAAGGTGTGAGTACAAGTACTGCTAATATTGAGATGTTATCCAGAGACTGTAGACTATAGATCAGATCCAGTATAACTATGTATGGGAATGTGAGAGCACACTTAAAGGACGTTCAGTCAGAAAGGAATGAATACAATAAGCTGTGTCTCCTATCACATGGAGGTGAGTTTCTGAAGTGTGTCTTCTGTGTGCGGGGGAGGGGCCTAACTCTCTCTGTGTGAGGGGGCGGGGCCTAACTCTCTCTCTTTCTCTGTGTGCGGGGGGCGGGGCCTAACTCTCTCTCTCTCTTTCTCTGTGTGCGGGGGGCGGGGCCTAACTCTCTCTTTGTCTGTGTGAGGGGGCGGGGCCTAACTCTCTCTCTTTCTCTGTGTGCGGGGGTCAGGGCCTAACTCTCTATCTCTCTCTGTGTGCGGGGGGCGGGGCCTAACTCTATCTCTCTCTGTGTGCGGGGGGCGGGGCCTAACAGACACTCTGCAGCGGCGTGCACACAGATTTGTAAGAGTAATACCGTTAAAAGAAAAGTGTTAAGAGAGTGAAATGTTGCTTTACGAATTTCAACACTTGATGCTGTCCCCTTGATTCCAATGTCAGATTCCTGTGTTTGCCGAACTGAATTAGTTTGAAGAGAGAAAACATTTGGACTAAAACTTGACTAAAATGTAATGATTTTTCAACGACTAAAACTGGACTAAAACTACGAAGGATAAAAAGGACTAAAACTAATAACCATTAAAAAATACTAAATAAAAAACAGCTGCCAAAATGAACACTGCTCAGGTGTTCTCAGTCATCAGAAAGGAATGAATACAATAAGCTGTGTCTCCTATCACATGGAGGTGAGTTTCTGAAGGGCCTCTCGTGGGGCTCAGGTGTTCTCAGGCATCAGAAATGTTCCAATGATCTCATGGTTCTCCTGTTTTCTCCTGTAACATATGAGGAGGTGATGTTTGACAGCATGGACTCTGAGGGGAGTTGATGTTGTTGATCAGTCACACAGAGGCAGAAGCCCCTCCATCGTTTTCATACTCTGCCTCATCTTCATCTTCATCATTCTGCTCCTGTCAGCATGGAACAGAGACATGGTAAAAACACAGAGCAGAGCTGGAAAGTAACGAAGTACATTTACTCAGTTTTCTACTTCAGTACATACTTGAAGGACTTGACTTGACTATCATCAGTTAATGCTACTTTACACTTTAACTGCTCCTTGTTTTGGAGCTTCGTGTTGAACTTTTTACTCGTCTTCATCCATTCATCTTTATTACACATTCTTTCTTTAACATGTTTTAGATTCCTTTTTTTATTTTGTATTTATTTCATTCTTAAATTGAGCAGAAATCTCCATCTATGATGTATTACATGACAAATATAACTAGTTCAGCTACCCAGTAGTATGTAAGTCATTTTAATAAACCATTCATTGCAAATGGAAGTGATACACATTAAAACATCACTTATTATAATCACATATTATATTATTACATTCTGCATCATCAGTTCTTTCAATGTAGGTATATTTGTATTATTAATCATATTTATATATTAGAGTATTTGTACATTGTAGTATTGCTACTTGTAATGAAGTACAATATCTCAGTACTTCCTTTAGTGTCTTGCTCAAGGGACCCACAGAGATACTTCATTTCAACACAACATGCACACTTTACTCCTTTGTTGAATCTTCTGCCTGTCTTATAATCACAGTTCAATGAAAATAATAAATATTACAAGCTATTATTTTATATTTAAACTCACCAGGTTTTTTCTCTTCCGTTTTTTGCCCCCTGAAAAAACAAAAAGACAAACATGTTGACTTCAGCTTCCACGGTTTCCTTTGTCTTTTCTCTTGAATCTATGAACCCTCACCTTTAGCTCTGGTCCAGATGTGGACCGTAACCACGGTGACGATGAGAGCTGCTAACCCCACAGACACCAGGATGACCCACCACACAGCTGGAGAGAGAGAAGTCCCAAGTGTGAAATACAGTCAGAGGTTTTTAGCTGTTAATGTATTTCTTCTCTTCAGTCTCTACCTGGTCCTTCTGGATGTTTGCAGTCTGCTCCTGTTCCGGTGTTGCTTTCAGATGTCCATTCATCAATTGGTGTTCCAGTTGTTGTAGCATCTCCTTCAGGAACAAAACAACATCATGCAAAAAACTGTAGTTAAAAAAAAAGTTTTATCCATCCATCTTCTCCCGCTTATCCGTGGTCGGGTCTCGGGGGTAGCAGTTCCAGCAGAGAGCCTCAAACGTTCCTTTCCCTGGCGACATCAACCAGCTCTGACTGGGGGATCCCAAGGCGCTCCCAGGCCAGCGAAGAGATATAATCCCTCCACCTGGTCCTAGGTCTACCCCTTGGTCTCTTCCCAGCTGGACGTGCCTGGAACACCTCCCTAGGGAGGCGCCCAGGTGGCATCCTAACTAGGTGCCCGAACCACCTCAACTGGCTCCTTTCGACGCGAAGGAGGAGCGGCTCAACTCCGAGTCCCTCCCTGATGACCGAACTTCTCACCTTATCCCTAAGGGAGACACCAGCCACCCTGCGGAGAAAACCCATCTCGGCCGCTTGTATCCGCGATCTCGTTCTTTCGGTCATGACCCATCCTTCATGACCATAGGTGAGGGTAGGAACGAAAATGGCCCGGTAGACAGAGAGCTTTGCCTTCTGGCTCAGCTCCCTTTTCGTCACAACGGTGCGGTAAAGCGACTGCAGTACCGCTCCCGCTGCTCCGATTCTCCGGCCCATCTCAAGCTCCATTGTTCCCTCACTCGAGAACAAGACCCCGAGATACTTGAACTCCTTCACTTGGGGTAAGGACTCATTCCCTACTTGGAAAAAGTTTTATGCATAAACCAAATGACAAAATGAAGTGACGTCAAAACCTCAAACCCCAAAAAGCATTATCTGTGATTAAATGTGTGATAAGTGATTTGAAACAACTCATTATATTCTAACCTGGTTTCTCAATTAAGAGCTTCTCCTTTTTATCAGAACCTTCCGTCTCTTCACATTTCAGAAACTCATTACATCCCTGATAAATGTGAGACGTTGTAAATGTGTTGTTTCAGTATATTCTAATAACAAGACTGTTAGAAGTGATTTTAAACATCTCAAAGTGTTCTCACCTGAGGACTGAGGGCTGAAGGGAAACAGATGTTCTTCTCCTGTGAAACCATTAGTTACTTCACAAGAAAGCAACTCAGACCTTGTTGTGTAACTAAAATGAGAAGTCAGAAATGTCACAGAGGCAGAGCAGGGAGACTGTGATGTCTTTATCTCTCTTTGATATTTATCTACATCTCGACCCTGAAGCAGCCACTTCACTGGGTCACACCATCCATCTGTCTCCACAGAGCAGCGTAACGTCACCTCATCATTGACCTGATATTCAGTCACTGCAGACGGAGATATTGAGAGAGAAAGACAACAAGAGTAACATTAACTTCATCACTGTAATCATTATTATTGTAATGTTTCAGTATATTGCTCTATAGAGACAGTTTGAAACATCATGATGTAAATACTCACTGGAAACAACAGACAGAATAACATCAGAGTCTGGACCTTGTTGTTCTCCTGATCTGTTGAACTGGCTGCAGGAGTAAAAACCAGCATCCTCCTCTGTGACCTTCTTTATAACCAGAGAACATTTCTCTGTAACTCTCAGTCTGTCTGATTTAGCTTTGGCTCCTTTGTGAATCTGTCCGTCTTCAAACAGCCTCACTCCTGGTGGGTATGGTGAATCATAGAAGCGCCAGAGAGTTCTCTCACACTTATCCTGATCATGCATCACATAGTCACAAGGCAAAGTGACTTCATCTCCAGGTCTGACAATGTAACGTTTCAGATCTGCAGCTGTTGGGGAAAAAAGCAGAAAGAAATATAGACGTGATAAATGCTGACAGAATAATGATGTATTATATAAAAAGGTAAAGAGTTAGAGTTCTGGTTGATCTGTTTAATGAATCATTTAACGACACATTAAAACCAGAGTTAATTACAGATCCACATCACTAACTGAAGCGTTCATAGTGAGTGTGACGATCACTTTAAAGAATATTGCTATGTGGGTTTTAGTGAGCAAGAGTTCACTAAAGTCACCACGTTACAAACACAACTCATCACTCTCAGTTAAAGGAACAGTACGTAGTAAAGTACCGTTAGTGATATTAGAGCTGTTTTATTTCATGTACTTGGTAAATGGTAAATGGACTGTATTCATAAAGCTCTTCATCCAGTCTCTCACCCCTCAAAGCGCTTTACATACAAGTCACCCATTCACCCCCAGTTCATACAGAGCAATGTGCCCCTTGCTCAATGAAGGGGTTAGAGCCATTTCCCTTTCATCGTTATGCTTTGAATGTTTGTCTTATTACTAAAAGGCTTTAGAGGAAACTCTTAACTATCTATTTTAGTGAGTCATACTACGCTTTAAAAGATGTTAGTTTAAGCCTCACTTATTTGCGGTCAGATGTGACGTGCATGTCTGCATGTCTGTATGTCTGTATATGGCATGACGTTGGTTCACAGCTGAGGGTGTGATTAGACAGGAAGCGGTAGAGTATTTTGACCGTGTTCTTTTTGTTCTTTTTTGATACGGAGAACTTTGAGTTACTTTGAAGCGAGGAAGTTTGTCTTCATGTTTGAATGTCGCCTGGATCAAAGAATAAACCTGATGTGATTCAACGCTACAACGATCTCTGCAAAGTTAGTTAGGAAGCAAAGAGAGGCGCGTCGTAGCCCACACCCCGATAGAGGAACGTGGATATTAAATGTAGAAACGGATCAAAACGCCACGACAGAAGGTATCTTTCACACACCGTTCCCCATTGGGAGCGACTTGGGGTTCAGCATCTCGCCCAAGGATACATCGATTTCAATTGAGCTACGCCCTCACTAGCTTTCAATTAACAGTCGTAAACAGTGTGTGTTCTCTGCATCCTCACCTGGAAAGTGGAGCAGCAGCATCAGGAATGAAGACATCACGATCCTTCTGAATTCAGACATCGTGCTTCTCTCTCGGTCTCTGGCTCTCGACTGTCAGAGTCTCTAACCGGCTGCTTCTTTAACAAGAACTCAGTACCTGCTTCCTGTGATAATGAAGAGTCACTTCCTCATTCATCTCAAGAGGGGAAGTTGAACGTGGCAAGATGTTTTCTGGTTCCTCATTTCACCTCCAGTGTTTTTCTTCTGAGAACTGAAGGAGAAGTGTTTCGATGAGAAAGAGGTTAACACCAGCAGCTCTGAAGGTATGACACCGTATAGAAAACTACAGGCACGTATTCAGCTGAGCAACAGAGGAATAATTCAGGCCGATATGAGACGGATCAGTTTGAGCTGACATCCAGTCACTGTGGAGGACCGAGCCAAACTTACATTGAGACACAATCTGGATGTTTATTTGAACATGACTGCATTCCCAGGCCCTGTGTGGCTCAACACCAACTGTTTCCATCTTTGATGAATCTGTTTATCTTATTGAAAAATACAGCATGCCCTTGTCCCCCTAGAGCAGCGGTGTCAAACTAAAGGCCCGGGGGCCAAATGCGGCCCGCGACTATATTTCATGTGGCCCCGCAAGAGCTTACAAAGAATATAATATGTTTATTATACGGTTGAATGCCGCTTTACAGAAGCACGTTGTCCATAAACTGCATGTCCCACAATGCATCTCATTTTGTGACGTGCGCACTGAAGAGACTTGCTATTATAGACTTCTGCTTTTCAGACATTAATTATGAAGTTATTACCCTATCCAATAATAATCCAATGCAGAGGCAATAATGTGATATACATATAATACATTAATTTATATGATATATTTAAATATGTATTTATATATAGTCTTAAAGTTTTGAACTGGCTTTTAATACTAGATGAACATAACATTTTGATATTTGTATGTGTTTTTATGTTTCTAGTTATTGTGCTTTGTATTATTGTTTTATTATTTTACTCCTATTGTGTTATTTGATATTTGTTCTCTGTGCAGCACTTTGGTCAACTGAGGTTGTTTTAAATGTGCTCTATAAATAAATAAAGATTGAGATTGAAAAATACGACCGGCCCTTTGAGTGCAACCATAATGCTGATGTGGCCCATGATGAAATTGAGTTTGACCCCCCGCCCTAGAGCAGGGGTTCTCAAACTTTTTGTTTATGCGGACCACTATTTATTATCAAGGATTTTTGCGGACCACCTCATATGCAAACCGTAAAAATAAGTACATATATAAACGTAGTGTTAAAACGCCGATATTTAAAAAAAGTTAATTATAGACTGTGGTGACAGTTACGGGACATAATTCACTGTGTCATACAGTGTGTGTTGCAACCCGGACCCGTTAGTGAGGGTACCGGGTTTAGAGTTCATTCATGCTGGCTGGCTACACAGAGCAGCTCATGTACTCACGTTGTCTGGATTAATAATAATAAAGTGTGGAAATCCATTCTGAATGCACCGCCTCTGACTCCCGTTCATCGGCTCTACAAGACAATCAAAAGTCAATTGAAGCCGATCTGATACTTTTGTTGCACAGTGCGACCGGTGTCTGTCTGCATTGTGTATGTTTCTCAAAGAGGACGGCGGACAACTTCTTTCTTTTGGTCCTTGACCATATTCAAATCTGTAGCATACAATCATAGAACACAACAGCTGCATCAGCTAACATGAACTGCAGCTCCAGCTCTTTCAACATCCGATATCGCAGGAAAGAGACACATAACACAACGTTTACAATATCAAAGAAAGTTAATATAATGACAGCCTACCTGTAGCATACAATCAGAGAACACTGAATATAAAATACATTAATATAAACGTGTACAATAAGGAAATAATCAGTCGGAAGTCGCAACGGCTCATTTCAAAATAAACGTGGATTTGCGTAAAAAAATAGTTTTTCGGGGTTCGTGTGTTTTGTTAGATTATAAATAAAAAAAGTCTTGGCTTTCAGAATATGAAACTTTGATCTCCAAATTCACACGATAAATACATTTTTGAGACTTGTGAAGGGAAGATGACAGCTCTCACTCGCACTCTGAACCCCCCCCCCCCCCCCCCCCCCCGTGGTGGTTTTGAAATGCTCCCGGTTTCTGAGGTCTCAAGGTCGGCAAGTATGCTCATGGACCACACCCACCTTTTATTTTGAAAAACTGGGTAACATACTGTCCCCCTTTAGTCCCTCTCTCTCTTGTCTTTCTCTCCTGTCTTTTCTTTTTTGAAAGCCTGACTTTGTTAAGACATGGTACACACCTAAGTACTAGCATCCCTCCTCACATGCTCTCACTCTCTGCTAGAAAGGGCCGGTGCAGCACCACGGTTGGAGGCAGGACCAAACCATTACATATACAAAGAAGTAATGCTTTGCTCCAAGGCTTTGGATAGTTAACTTTTGGAAGAAAATAAGTGAAATGAATCATACATTTAGTGAATATATTATCAATATAACGTTCTATTAATGTTCATTATTGATGGATGATGAAAGGTTACTTAAAAGTTTTTTTCTTAATGTTCTAAAATAGTTTGGGCCCCTGTCAGTCACGGGCCCTTTAGAATCGTCCTAACTTTTCACCCCCTTACAGCGACTCTGCATTTTTTCCTTAATATTTGGAGTACAAAAACAATCCTGATATCATTAGAAAGCTAGGAATATCCTCTTTCCAACAGTGTATACAACTCAAAATGTGTCTTCGGGTCAATGCGACTGATTTCGATAGAGCAGGTCACATATGAGGTGGTCTCCGAAAATCCTTGATAATAAAAAGTGGATTTTATTTAGCTTTTTTCCACCAGTGGTCCGCGGACCACAGTTTGTGAACCGCTGGCCTAGAGGACTCGATACAAAGGAAAAACTGGCACAAATCCACGGCTCCACGTCTTCTACCTTCTTCTGGACATCGCATTTTTGGCGAGACGTTGGAAGTCAAATGAGGTGAATGTAAAAGGAGACATTCAATATATATATGAATGCTGTGTTGTTTACATTCTTATTGGCTGGTTTCTCTGTGTTATAGCTCAACATGATTTAAGGGGCGAGCAGATAAGAAGCACACACATCTGTGTATAAAGTTTAGACACATTAAAGAGACCCTATTGTGCCTTTCGGGGGTTTCCCTCTCCTGTAGTGTTATATAGGTTTGTATTCATGTAACTGGACTGCAAAGACTACAATCTCTGTGTTTTCTCTGCTGATCAGATTTTGGCCACTTTATGTCATAACGATGTTTGGTCTTGTGTAACCATTAGCCAATCAGCAACCAAGGTATTATGGGTAATGCTGCAATGATCTGTTTGGTGTCTCGAGCAAAACACTTCAGAGACATGATTTTTCTGAGTTAAAGAAACAAACCAGTTTATGAAAAAAGAAAAAGAAACTCTCTGAAACCTCAGACTGAGCAGAGGATGATGGAGAAGAGAGAACACTTCATCAGCTTCCAGACAAGTCTTTAAGTCCGAGATTAGTCCTGCACAGTTTTCCCATCTGAGTCATGTTTGGCCCTTGAGGTCACGAGGAAGTCAGAAAGGTAAAGTCTGAGTCACTTTGGTCATGCCTGAGACCATATCTGTGTCTGAGGTCAGATGCCAGGGTGAGATTCAAGTCACTGAGTGAGAGAATAACTTAACGCCTTCTTCCTGCAGAGAGTTGAACTTCTCATCCTGCAGCATGTTTGAGGTTGAAGGTGCAACAGAGCACATGTCTGACCTCTAGCAGCAGCTTCACTGGGATCTAAACTTTGATCTGTTAGTAACACTTCAATGTTCAAGTTGCAGAGTTAATGTCAAAGTCACTGAGGTCACTTCTAAGTCTTTAAGTAGGTTTGTAAAAAAGTGATATAACATACATGAAGCACTTCAAAGTCCATTGCAGATTATTCAGAAATATCACTTCGCACAGGTCCAATGTAACTTTAAAACACATTGCATATATACTTTGTATTTTTATTATTTAACACATTTAAAAAAGGTGCTTGCACTTCCTCATCGCCTCAAAGTCGGCAATATTTACTGAAAAAGGGGCGTGGCTCTACTGGAGTCCATTTTATATCATGTGGAACACTTTGATTGGTTGAAAGACATCAAATCAGTGTGTGCATTTGGGACACACACACGTGCATTTGGGACACACACACGTGCATTTGACACACACGTGCATTACACACACACGTGCAACACACACACGTGCAACACACACACACACAGAGATTACAACATCAATTTGGGCATTACTTAATGCATGTCAGTGAACTCGTCGTGTGTTTGATTAGGACCCTTCCTATGGTCTCTAAACTTCTGCCGCTAAGCTTCAGGGACTAACTCATACACTCTGAGGATGGCAACCTTCACTGAGTCATACTGCAGGCTGTCCTCTAACGTGAGAGCCGCAACTGCCTCCTGAGCTTTTCCATATAATTTGCACGTTGCCATCAGAGCCCAAACTTCAGCCGGCCACCGCAACGCTGTAGCAATGCGCTCGAAGGCACCAAAATAGGCATCCACCTCAGTCTCAGTGAAGGTTGGCACTAGCAAAATGTTTTTACTCACGTCAAAGGCAGGTGAATGAGGTGGAAATGGCAAGTTTCTTTCGGCAGGATCAACAGCACCGGATGCGCGCAGTTGAGAGTCTAGCTCCAGCTGACGGATCCGGACTTTCTTGTCGATTTCAAGCTTTCTTATTTCCAACTGGAACTGATACTGCCTGTCTTGCTCCCTGTCTTTTGCCTCCAGTTGAAGACGTGCGAGACGGACCTTTAGCTTAGCCCCCTCTCGGGAGTCTGGGTTGCCAGGAGACGGTGGGTCATAGCGAGGCGACCGGTGCTTTAAACTGCCCGCCGTCCTCACCCTCTACCTGAGCAACTGAAGGCTCCGCCTCAGACCGCTGTTGTCTCCCAGCTTCAGACAGGACATGGAACGCAGCAAAGTCAGCTTGTACAGGTAGCACCAGGAAACCCCTTTCCACCAGCTCATCCACCACCAGAGCCTTTAATTATTTTTTTAACGTTTGCTTATTCACTGAGACTGAAATGTTGCGCTATCTCATACAAGTCGTCTCTACGACACTGATCTAATTGCTCATGAGAAGGACAGACCAAAAATGACTCAAGATCGAAAAGTGCCATACTCAGCTAAAACTGCACACAAACCTTACCAAATTGTTTTTAGCTATAAAAAACCCCCCAGGAATTAAGTTATATATCCCGGAGGAGCCCCCATGTATTACGTTCCCTTCTGGGCTAGGGGAACCAAAGGGAAGCAACACAACCAGAATGGGATTGGTAATAATTACAAGTGGTTTTATTATAAATAGCAGCGGTAAACAAAATGGCAGGCATGCAGCCTGGAACAACAAAAAAAGGCCAAAAGGGCACAGGTTGACAAATAACCAAACAAAGGGAGGACTCTAAAAGGGAGCCCGTTTACATACAAAAAAATAGATAATAACGGAACTAAATAGAAACTAAAACCCTCACTATAAAAGTGGTACAGACTAACACAGGGAATATATACAAAACACACAGCTAAACTAAAGGCAACAGTCACAAAAACCTAAGCTACTCTAAACACTATGTAAACTACTCTAACTAAGCTACTCTATGCACGACTAACACACAATATCACACTACCAGACACAGACCACACAAGTTCCACAGAACAAAAAGCAAGTAGCGAGAGGCGTCTGTTCACTCAACAGACCCTCCAGAGTGATGATTGTCCCCAGCTTTGTAGTCGTCTCCAGCAGGTGTGCGCTGGGCTTGCACAGGGATTGGAGAACGTCGGGCCCGGCGTGCTCCAATCAGTGTCCTCGGAAGTGGACCAGAAGATGACAGCCAATGACGTTGGGGCAACTACACAGCTCATTTACATAATCACACACACACCTGCAGACAATCCCAGACAGGTTACCGAGCAGGCAGAAACAGCAGCCGTAACCCCATGTAAACATTTATTAAAAAAACACATACTTTTAAAAGACTTAAAATTGTCAAAACTCTAGAAATTGTGATTTTCCAGGATGGTGCAGTGGTGGTATGAGTGTGGCTTTCTGTCAAACACCTTGATAGCTCTCTTGAACAGCTGTTCTATGGGTTTCAGGTTTGTGGCTCAAGCAAACGACCAGTTTGTCAAACAGTATTCAATGTGGGATTATCTATTTTAGCCCCTCCTCTTCTATTCTTGGTGTGAAAATGTGAACATCAGACCCTCTGCAGACTCCTGAATGTTGTACGTCACTGCAGACTGCTTGACTCTGTGACCATTTACCTTCTTGCAAGAATAAGCTCCCTAAAAGACTGTCTTATTCCAAGAATCTTAATTTCAGTATAACGGAAAGGTTTCTTCACCATTTTATTATTATTTGTTAGTTTGTCTCGGTACATTTCCACCACAATTTGGCATGACGAACAGGATGCCTTGAAAGACCGCCAGGAACCAAAGGAGGACGGGAACACAAGAACATCTTGAAGAGTCGAGAGGACCGTTCTGCTGAGGTTCTGATCGTCTCACTGGGATCCAGCAGGTTGTGTCCTTCATATAACATCCGGTGAGATACTGAAAATATCAACTCAAAACCTTACCAACACTGCTTTATTTAAAAATTCAGTTTAACATGGTCCTCCCGGCGGGGTTTCCTCTCCTCTCTGCCCGCAGAAGCAGCTCTGATCCCGGCTGCAGATCCGCGGAGGTCCCGGTCCTCTGGAGCTCCGGAGAGAGAAACAGAGACCCGTTTATAATCAGTACCGAGAGAGCACGTGGGGTGACGTTAGGTGACGTTAGGTGACGTAAGGTGACGTGACGCACAGGTCAGCAGGCTGCTCGGCCTGCTCGTTTTACAGGTGCATTATATTTATTATAATGTGTTTATTGACTTATTAATTAAAGAGGAACATACGGGGAAATATATTTGGATGCTCAGAATATACAGCTAGAAGAGAGGATTTTTGTATTATTAGGATTCTGGAGGATAAAATATATTAAAGTAATTCAATTCATATTGAAAGTTAAAAAGTTAGGAAAATTAACGGAAAACGAGGTTGGTTGCTTTTACTTTAATTAATCTCTTTGTTTGATTTGATGGGCTTAAAAATATCCCAGATTTATTTATTTGTCCATGATTTAACAAACTTTAATCCGATCCCATTAGTTGTTTCTTAATAAATGAAAAATAATGAAAGAAAATCATTTTGAGGTTAAAATCTTTTAAAAGTCAAGAAATTCTCGCAGTTTTGACTTTTTCTGAATCGAAAAGTGAGTTAATTTCACTTTTGTCAGAAAAAGAGACATGCATATTAAACATAAATAACAAACCTTTATAATTTGGTGTAAATCATCATAAATAAAGTGTCAGATGGTAAATAACAGCGTAAGATTGAGTAGATACAGGATACCAGAAGTGAATCAATAGGGGCAAAAAGTGTTAATTTACACAAAAACAACACTTTGAAACTGCGTTTTAAAATATATCTTTTGATGTAGGACTCTTTCAAAACTACTTAAAACAAAACAGTAAATGAAAATTAAACCCAGTGTAAATAAAGTAATTACAAAAGGTATATAACTGCAGCTCCATTCGCCTCCATTCATGCGTAATTGGATATGAAAGTGACCAGTGCGTAGAAACTGAAAAATCAGGTCGAAGTGAAAAGTGGTCAAAATTATGGGGGAAAAATATTTAACTTTTATAACTGCTTATTTGATTTTGAACTCACTATTTCAGACTCGAAAAAAACTTCAGCAAAGATGTTTCATTGAGAAGATGATCACTACGTGACAGAAGTTTTCAAAACCATCTCCGGTACTTCCAGCGCTCACAACGCACAGCGTTAGAAAATCAGACCTTCAAAATAAAAGTTTGACTCTTTTCTACAAAAAAAAAAAAAAATTCAATAGATTTTTTCTTCAATCACAAATTTGCGACCCACTCCAAACGGGTCCGCGTCCCACTTTTTGGGTCGCGAGATGTTGTCTTGTTGGTGAAATGCATCTTGTGAGTTGTAGTTTACTTCCCTACTTAGTTTCTTTTTGATGTCCATAGATTTGCGCGTTTATGTTTTACATTTCTAAATAAAAGATTTGGGTATTTTCTAACATAATTTTCCATTTTCTGTACTATTGTTTCTCTAGGACAATTTAATACTCCTCCAACAGCTGAACTTCTCCCAGCTCACAGACCTCCAGAATCAGCCAATTTCCAGCTCACGTATTTGCAGTTTACTCCGAGGTTACTCACTTTGTTATTTCCATGTGGAAGCTGTTTCCTCATGTTGACAGACAGACTCTCATGCACACTTAAAGCCAACACTTTAACAACGACCAAAACATTTTTTATCCTCCTTTTATCTTCACGCACATGTTGTGGGGGGGAAAAACAACACGCTGCAATTTCCTTTCCTCGTTTTATTAATGTATCTCACGTCAGCACCCACCCTCTCGTATCTTATCTTCAGTCTAATTTCTACAAGTGTTTCTCACGTGGAAACACTTCCGACATGAGCAACATGTGGTCCTGAGTGTGTGTTCAGCACCTGGGGCACATGTGGAAATCCCAGACAGACGTTTCCTTATCCTGCTGTTGTTTGATAGAAGAAGTTATGATGGCAATTTGTTTATTTATCTGATTTGGGTTACGTTCTTCCAGTGAATTCCCCCACAAATGTGTACTTCTGTCGTCAAAGACATAACTACGCAGTGAGGGAATGTCCTCAAATGACTCATAGCAAGTGTTTTCATCTGTGTGTCAAAAGTGGAAGATCATATTTTGAATTAAAGGTGGAACGTGTGGTCATCGCATTGTTGTACGACAGATGAATGATGGGGACATTGTGAACTTTTATAACACAGAATTTCCTCAGAGCTAGACTTTCGAGTCAGGATTTAAAAGCTTAAAGAGGCACTACTTTGCTTTATTGGGATTTTAGCCTTTGCACACCATTGACATGCACAAACACTACCTGTAAAGAGTAAGTGAATGTGATTTCCTGTTCTTTTGGGATTTCATGATCAGATTAGTTTATATAGGATATAAAGGTTTTCTCTCCAACACGCTCCCTACACCCCACCGCCTGATATGCAATACTGCACATCAGTGACGTGCGGTGAGGTTCATGGCTGGTGAGGCACTGACTCTTTCAGAGTCAGATTTACAAATATTATATTTTGACCTTAATCGAAATGTTCTGTTATTTTCAAAAGCTTTTTTAGTCTGATGTTTCGATTCATTTTAAACAGACCGTTCAACAAAAGGATAGGCCTACCCACAATCTAAATATTGGATTGTTCTTTCTTAGTAAGAACCAATTTTCATTACAATTGGGGTCTTACCTTGACTTGAAGATGAAGTCCATGCTTTCCTTCTGGACAACAATCTCTATTACTTTTTTGTAAAAGTCCTCCTTATCTTCCTCTCGTTTCAAAAGTCTAGTTTGTTGTTTGCGTCTACCGTCTCTGCGTAGAATAACAGTAGTAACAAGGACCTGTGGGCTCACGTGCGCCCCCTTCAGTGTGGCAGAGGTTATGGGTGCCTCCCCTGGTGCTTTTTTCATTGCCGTTGTATGATGAGACCAGCGAGCCTAAATATCATATATACGTGAAATAAGTCATTTAGACAGTGGTGGGCCGTCAGGGCCAGCAAGGCCTTCTCTGCTGGCCTAAACATCATCAGAATATAAATTTAATTTTGATATATTTTTTCCACAAATATGTATTAAATTATTCCCCATAGTCTATTCTTTTCATTTCATAGCTTTCCTCTTGGTTGCGCTGCTTCCAGCCTCAGAACAAGATTTGGAGGGCTGGCCTTTATGTTAGAGCTTTTATCCAATCATATTTCAGCCATAATGTGTTGCCAGGGTCCAAGAAATCTGCCCTTA